GGGGATTGGGAATGGACTGGGAAACCGGGATTAGGATCAGGGCGGGACTGAGAGTGAGGAGGGGGAGTTAGGATTGGCTGTGTTGGGTGGGCAGGACTGGGGGGATTGGAGAATTGTGACTGGGAAAGTGGGGATATGACCCGGTCAGGACTGGGAGAGCTGGGACAGGATTGACTGTGTTGGGTGGACAGGACTGGGGGTACTGCGGAATAAGGACAGGGAAACTGGGAGTAGGAGCAGGGCAGGACTGGGAGAACTGGGCAGGAACTGGGGTTAGGACTATGTTGGGTGGGCAGGATTGGAGGCACTGGAGGATTAGGGCTGGGAAAGTGGAGGCTGGACATGGGAAGGATTGGGAGCACTGGGTGGAGAGGTACTGGGAGAACTGGGTGCCCTGGAGAGGCAGGATTGAGGGTACTGGGGAATCAGGACTGGGAAACTGCCAGTAGGACCAGGGTAGGACTGGGAGAACTGGCAGGATTGGAGGGGGGTGGCAGGTGGAGGTGGGGCAGGACTGGGGGTACCTGGGGATCCCCCACTGGAGAATCAGAACCTCCCCAGATCCCCTCAAGACCCCCCAGACCACCTCAGTTGTGGGGTTGTGGGGGACAGGGCTGGACTGGAGGAGAGGGACTGGGAGAACTGGGTGGCCTGGGGGTGCAGGACTGGAGGTACTGGATAATCAGGACAGCACTTGGAGTACTGGGTGAGGAGGGACTGGGAGAACTGTGTGCCCTGGGCAGGAGGACTGGGGGTACTGGAGAATCCAGGCTGGGAAAGTGGGCGAAGGTCTGGGAGAACTGGGCAGGAACTGGGGAGTTAGGACTGGCTATGTTGGGTGGGCAGCACTGGGGCTTACTGGGAGGGCTGTAGAGCACAGGTGGTGGGATCCAGTGTGGGACTGGAGGGAGGTTCTGGGGCTGGGCTGGAGCAATGGGATGTACTGGGGACAGCGAGGCCTGGAGAGGCTCTTCCCTGAAGTCTCCCAGCAAATTCCCTCTCAGGCCAGCACTGGAGTGTGAAGACCCTCCCTTGTCCTGGGCCTTCCTTCCCCCAGGATCTGCTGGATTTTGTCCCTCAGAGGTGACATCTGTGCTGGGGCTCCTGGGATTTGGAGCTCTCCCAGGGATTTGGAGCTCTCCCAGGGATTTGGAGCTCTCCCAGGCCGTGTCAGTGGGCTCTACCTGCCCTGGAGCCACTGGAGAAGCTGCTCATGACTTTGTCACCCTGAGGCTGTTCATGACTTTGTCATCCTGAGGCTCCTGTTTGCAGGAGCAGCCTCAGGGTGGGTGCAGGGTGTGCCAGTGGTTGATGGGATCTGTGCCATGCTGGGCACTGGCAGGGCTGGAAGGGGCTTCCCTCTGCCCCCTCTCTGTCCCAGCTGCCTCAGCACTTCCTTTTTCTTTATTTTTATTTTTAATTTTTATTTTTTATTTTTATTTTATTTTATTTTTATTTTATTTTTATTTC